ATTCTGTAACAGGACAAGAAAGCCCAACCTGAACAGACAAACAGAGGTCCCAGAGAGGAAATGCAAAAGGACCTTGACAAACTTCTAATTGGTAGCCTCACAAAAGTTGGAGACGTTGTGTAGCCATAAAACAAGAAGAGGATGCTTTAAAAATTGCAGAATTAAAGAATACATTAAACAGAAAGGCTAAAAGATAAGAGCTGAAGAAATCTCAAAGAACACAGCAATAAAACAAAGAGACAGAAAATCAGTAAAATCAGTAAATCCAGAAACAGATTTAGGCAACTGTGAGGGGCGATGGAGGTCCCATCAGAAGAATAAAAAACACAACTTGTTGCATTCTGGAATAGGTCTAGGAGGGAGGAAAAAGCTTTGTTATCATATAACCCTCTGTGCTATTGATTAAAAAAAAAAAGTGAACATATATTATTTAAAAAAAGCCAAATACAAGTTCATATAGTATTATACACTTGAAAAAAATGCCCCTCCCAAAATGTTTAAGAATGAAAAAAAAAAATCACCATAATCATAGTAAAATGTTACTACCATTTTTATATTTTTGGAAAGAAAAGTTTCTAAAACTTTGAAAAAAATGCTCTATGTTCCTATTCCTTTTTAACAGTTATTAAAAAATAACTGTTCAGGAAGTCAAGTTTCTTTTCTCCATCTTTGGCACACCCAGTTCTCACTTGATAAGGTCAGCCAATCGCAGATGACTTCCCAGAGAAATTTATTCCTGGTAAATGACACTGGATGCCGAGTGATGACAAGAAAGCAAGCTGAACACGCAGAGGACGCTGCACAGGAGCAGGCCTGCGAACATCAGCTTATGAGCCGCTGCTGTGTAGCCAAGTGCTTTGGGCGAGGAAGCAAAGCACGGCAAGGACCACCCCGACACGCGGGAGGGCTTTTCAGTGGCACCTAGATTTCAGTCTGATCCAGCACTTCCACTGACTAGCTGGACAGGGCGTCGTGCAAATTCGTTTTCTCTTCTCTGAAGTTTGTTTCCTTATCTATAAAAAGACGCCAACACCTACCCTAGAGAATTGTTGTGAGGATTAAAGATTATGTGTCTAGCATACTACACTCAATAAATATTAGTATCTTTCTTGTTTAGCTTAGAAAAATAGAAAACAACCCATCCAAAATTATTAAGTATAAATAACTATATTTTACTTTTAAAAGAAATCATCTCTTTGCTCCTAGTAAATATTAATTTCATTTTGAGGAAATAAGTTTTGAGTGTTTGATGGAGAAATATATTTATATTCTCAAATTCCAAATGGGATGTTTTTTCACTTATTTTTAAATAACCATTAACAGACATTCTAGAATATCAAAGGTTTTTATTTAATTAAAATCAGCCACCTATACTTACTAATACTTCATATTTGTTTGGCATTTTTTTACTTTTAAAAGCATTTTTTACATGTTCTTTCATCTGCTTTTCCATAATCCTATAGGGCAGATAATACTAAACCTATTTTATAAATGTGAAAGCTAAGAAGCCCAAGTAAGTACTTATATATTTGCCAAACTAGTGGCAAAACCTAAACTTGAAGCCAAGTCTCTTGACTCCTATCAACCAGGATTTTTATTTCTGACCATTCCACTTATCATTTGAGTATGTGGCACTTTACAATATACCTACCTACAAAGAAAGATCTAATCCTCACAATGTTGGATTGATCAAATTAAATTATATACAAAAAGTAGATTACCTTTATGATCTAACTTTGGTCATAAAAAGTGGTATGGCTAGGCCGGGCGCGGTGGCTCACTCCTGTAATCCTAGCACTCTGGGAGGCCGAGGCGGGCGGATCATTTGAGCTCAGGAGTTCGAGACCAGCCTGAGCAAGAGCAAGACCCCATCTCTACTAAACATAGAAAGAAATTTGCTGGACAACTAAAAATATATAGAAAAAATTAGCCGGGCATGGTGGTGCATGCTTGTAGTCCCAGCTACTCAGGAGGCTGAGGCAGGAGGATCATTTGAGCTCAGGAGTTCGAGACCAGCCTGAGCAAGAGCAAGACCCCATCTCTACTAAACATAGAAAGAAATTTGCTGGACAACTAAAAA